ATTTCTCTTTAATATTCTTTCTAATCTACTCGTTCATTCCTATTTCAAATATTCAATGCAGATATGCATGCACACATATAGAACCAGAAAAACAGTAACATTCCCCTCCCCCACATGGAACTGTGCAAACATACCTCAATTGCTGAGGTAGATTTGCATAAGTGAGTGACACTTCCAATATTTGGAATATGTGTGCAATGTCTTCAGTTTACATTAATAGCATTATTTTCCAGTGGTCTGTTTATTTTTATTTATTTATTTGCAAAGATTCTCAATTAACTTCCAGCAATGTATAACTCACCAAATCCATAATTTAGGTTAAAGAAACATACCAAGCAAAATTAAAACCATGTTTATATACTATAAAACAACCATACACACCGGGAGTCAAACATTCCCCAAATAACAGGAGCAGAGGAAGATTTCTTATCCAATCATCCCTTTTGTTTCACTGGATGCTGTCAAACATTTTTTCTATATATTCGACACACTCATACTCAACTAATTGTACTTCTAGTGCTTTCTCTTTCAGATATAGCATTTGCACATTTACTTAACAGTAAATCCTGCTAAAATTCACTTGGGTGATGATGCATTTTGTAACTGATGTTCTTCTATATATTTCCTGCCATTTAAGCATCATTTTTTCTGATCATTCCATGTTTCTGGCAGCTGCTAATCATCCCAAATCAAGCAGATCAGTTTGCTTGGATAATATTCCAAGAATGTTTTTGGAAGCTTATATATATAAATTACACTATCCATTCACAGGATCTTATGAGCCAGAAAGGAAGGGAAATGGAGACAGAATATGCATTATGACTTGTCACACTGTTTAAATTTCATTTTGTCCTGAGAGTGTTTCAGAGGTTAAAAAAATTGCAAGATAAAACAGGAATATCATTTTACTCTGTTAAAGACAACTATTAGTCATGTCCTGAGCAAATAGGGATTTATGACTCAGACATAATTCTTCCAAATATGCCGGCTGTTCATAAAAGGCAGAGATATATGACTCAAAAATAACATTGAGACAGGAATAATTTTACACTTCACTTTGCAACGTTGACTTGCCTCCAAAATATATGGCAAAATCTCCATGCTTTATGAATAGGTTTCTGTCAAGACTGCAGATTTACAGCTCACACTTCTAAATCAAGTGAATCTCTTAAATAAGAGAGAGATCAGCACAGATAGGAAGGAAATGCATATATAATACACGATCATTATTTCAAGTATCTGACTACGCCTCTTAGTTTGAGAAAGATGACGTGGTCCTTGCAAATTGGTTAAGTTGCCCTTTTGTTGCCAGGTGCAAATGCCAGGTGCAGAGCATCAGAGAGTTCAGAGTGTTTTAAGTTCAGATAACAGGACTTCCGAGCCAGTTTGGTATGGTGGTTAAGGCATCAAGCTAGAACAGGGGTGTCAAACTCAATTTCATTGAGGGACACATCAGGGTTGTGTTTGACCTCAGAGGGCCGGGTGGGCATGGCCAGTGTGAGCATGGCCAGCTCGACATCACTCATGTTGGGGGCACCTATGGTGGCCTGAGTGTTCTGCCAGCAAAAATGGAGCTCGGAAGGGCTGCATGTGGCCCTCCTGAACTCTGTTTTTGCTGGCAGAGGGTTGCAGGAGGCTGTCACAGCTGAAAACAGAGCTTGGGAGGACCACACATGGCCCTACTGAGCTCCATTTTCAGTGGCAGAGGCACCATGGGCTGGTCCTTTGCTGTTTTCAGGGTGGCCCTGTGGGCCAGATCCAGTGGTGAAATGTAAAATGAGTTACTACCAGTTCTGTGGGTATGGCTTGGTGGTAGTGGTGGTGGTGGTGGTAATGTGACTGGGTGGGCATGGCCAACTTTTTATTTTTTAACTTTTAAAAGCATTTTTTCTACAACATCTTTGGCCGAAGAGGTTGCAGAAAAAAATGCTTTTAAAAGCCTCTGACAATGCGGCAACTCAGCTGGGATCATCAGAGGCTTTTAAAAGCATTTTCTTCTACAACTTCTTTGGCCGAAGAGGTTGCAGAAAAAAAAATGCTTTTAAAAGCCTCTGATGATCCCAGCTGAGCCGCACGATCATCAGAGGCTTTTTTTTTACTTTTAAAAGATCTGGCCTGCGGGCCTTGAGTTGGCACCCTTGAGCTAGAAAATGAGAGGCCATGAGTTCTGGTCCTGCCTTAGGTAAAAAGGCAACTGGAAAGGAGGCAATGACAAATAACTTCTGAAATAATTGCAGGGTTGCAGCTTGGATAAAGGAAGTGGAGAACTTAAAAAAAGAAGATAAAATGAAATAATTGTAATAGCAGCAGAAGTGGTGGAGAAAAGGGCAAGGAAGATGAAGGACTGGTCTGCAAAAGGTGAATATGAACTGCATGGTTTTTCAGATTTTGAAATTGGTGTAGGAGCGGGTGTAGTCAAATGGCATCTCCTTGAAAATAAACTCTTTAGAGCTGAACAGAAAGGAAACTACCCAAATATCAGAGACCAAAAGTTCAGCTCCTAACTGACTGGATGATTTTGGAAAACTACAAGAGAAGGAAGACCAACTTGAATTGTTTGGATTGATTACAAGAAGGCATTTGATTCCCTGCTACTTGATTGGATAATCAGGGAATCAAATGCCTTCTTGTAATAATTGATCCTGAATAATCAAGTGCCTAGAAATAACAGAGTCAGGAGAAACGTCAGAAGCTTTCTGCAAAGATCAATGGAAGACAAGGTTGCTGGTTAATGGTGATAGATTGGCGAGGTTAACTTCAAGAGAAAAATCTTTCAAGAAGAGTCACTATCACTACTACTATTTGTCACTCTACTGATTCATAGTCAGGCTATGGAGATCAAACATGTAAAACATCTGCCAGGCTATCTCACCTTCTTTATATAAACAATCTGAAGGTGTATAGAAAAACATGATCTGAAATGAAATTTCTGCTCAACACGGTCCAAATTTGTAACCAAGAAATTGCTATGGAGTATGGACTTGGAAAATGTGCTGCTCTTATCAATAATAGGGGGAAAATAGTGAAAACTAAAAGAATCCAGTTGCCCTACGGAAATAACATCTGGATGATGAAGATCATTTCAAATACCTAGGCATCCTTCAGGATGGAAATATCAATCATACCAGTGGTGAAATCTAAAATTTGTTACTACTGGTTCTGTGGGAGTGGCTTGTTGGGGAGGGGTAATGTGACTGGGTGGGTGTGGCCAATTTTTTTTTCTTTTAAAACCATTTTTTTCTACAAAAATGCTTTCAAAAGGCTCTGATGATCCCAGCTGAGTTGCCTGATCGGCAGAGGCTTTTTTTCTTTTAAAGCCTCTGCTGATCAGGCAACTGAGCTTGGATCTTCAAAGGCATTTAAAAGAAAAAAAGCTTCTGCTGATTAGGCAACTCAGCTTGGATCGTCAGAGGCTTTTAAAAGAAAAAAAGCCTCTGCCGATCAAGCAACTCAGCTGGGATAATCAGCTGACGATCCCTTTGACGATCCCAGCTGAGCCGCGCAATCATCAGAGGCTTTTTTTTTTTAACTTTTAAAAGCATTTCGGCTGAAGAGGTTGTAGAAAAAATGCTTTTAAAAATTAAAAGAAAAAGCCTCTGATGATTGTGCGGCTCAGCTGGGCATGGGGGGGGGGCAGGGATTTTTGCTACCGGTTCTCCGAACCACCCACCTCCATCGCTACCGGATCAGGTGATCCGGTCCGAACCAGGAGCATTTCACCCCTGAATCATACTCAAGTCAAGAAGAAGATGAATTGTGAATGCATCAAATGAGTGAAGAAGATCTTAAGGTTCAAACTTAGTGGCAGAAAAATCATCAAGGCAATTAATACCTCAGCAGTTATTAGAGATATTCCTGGAACAATGGACTAGAGTCAAGTGAACTATAAGCCCTGGATATGAAGACCGGAAACATAATGACAATGAATCAGGCTTTTCATCCACACACAATGTTGACCAACTCTACTTACCACGGAGTATAGGTGAGGAAGCAATGTTGCAAGTACATCAAACAGTTGAAGAAGAAGAAAAGACATTGGAAGAATATCTGAAGGACAGTGAAAAAGATGCATTGAAGCTAGTATTTATTTATTTAAATAATAAATTATTGCAGGATGGGGAGAAGCAGGAGCAATTGTGCTTATTTTTTCAGATTTTTTCATTTTTTTGAAAAAAAATTACTCACTTATAGCATTTTGCTTTTACCCTCCCATTTTCATTTTACATGTTTGTGGTTATTAGTTTGAAAGTGTGTTCATTAGGAATTTGTACATGTAGACCCGTTTCACTGCAGAACATTTTAGAAAAAAATATCCAGACTTTGCAATGTTGCCTAGTCACCTGCTCATTCCACAAAATTCTGCTGATATTAAAACTGTATTTATTTCAACTGTTTTTACATTGCTTTAGTTGACAAAAATATAAATATTTGTAAGATTAAAGCCTAGGAATTGAGCATTCCATTTCCACAGAATTGCTACTCTAAGCAAGTCACACTGCTCTGAGTAGACTAAGATCTAAAACTGGAATGAAAATGGAGCAGATCTGGCTTTGGTATACCTTAAGACCAATTTAGCATCAACAGGTTTCAGAGACATTTCTTTGAGTCCTCTTAAGTTTCCTGATCTACCTGACTTTACAGTATTTTTATTTTTTTAAAGAGCTAATAAATAAGAAAGTAATCTGATGCAAAACCAACCCTCTACTGTCTTTAATTCCAAGACATTCTTTATAAAAATGATAGAAGTATATCATGAATCCACTGGGAATGGAAAATTTAAATTACTTACTAATAAGGTCATGGTGAAATTATTTTACATCCTTAGTGCATAGAGTTTCAAGTTCAGCAGAACAAAAATGATAAAAATATAGAATGAGTCATTATTTATGGCAGACAGGAATGGAGGAATAATCAAGGACAATGAAGTTCTGGGAATCTGAGTAAGGAAAAAATAAGTATTTCCTTACTTTACAGATAACTTGATCGTGGCTTTTACTCACCCTCTTCATTTTCCTAGCAGATAATGGAGAAAGTCATTTAAACCCTTTATCTATACAAGACAGTAATATCCATTCCCCCTCATCAAAGACTGCTCCCAATGCCATGCTATAATAGCACTCCAACCTCAAAATAAAGTGGAAAACTTTTTGAAATGAATAAATAGGTCAGAATTCTCTCTTCAAATATTTTACCCTTTCTAATGCTGAGTTTTTCACATCTCTTACCAAATCCCCTTGGAAATAAAAGACACTCATATCTGCTCACAAGTAATTCACAAATGGCATTATAAATTTCATATCCTGATTTTTTTCCCTTCTGTCCAGTAGGTTTTACATCTATGTCTGTGCTGAGTGCTATCTATGTACTCCTCTTTAAAGAGTTTATTGCTTCTGGTTCATATTAATTTTACAAGGTTCAGGGAGCAAACTGTTACACACCATTATATTTCAAGGATAAAGTTCAGAAATTTGGGACTGGACAAATTCATACCCAGTTATTGCTGTGGGGCAGCAATAGGAAATCTCCTCCTATTTAATAGACAGATGTTTGGCCATATTGCTTATCATCCTTTTAAAAACCAAGGGAAGGGAAACTTGAATTTTCATCTCATTTTGTCATGGAAAATTCAGAAGTACAGAGCACAACCCTGAGGAGAAAAACTGTGTTTATTGCTAGGATCTTTGGGTTTGCAAGAAAGGGAGATCCTGAACAATGGGAAAACAAAGGTTTTTAATAGAAGTTGAGGGCTATAAGATGGGAAATTGTAGAGATTTGATTGCTGGCAATTTTTGGAGAAGCTAGACAGGCTCTTGTTCCTGAATTTGGGATTGCTTCTGTTGTGAGGCAAACCTGCCCTTTAAGGAGCAGCACCAGAGACCTCATTAAAGAAGAGGAATATTGGAGTCATCAGGCTGATTGAGAATGGAATATTGAGCTTTCTCTATATGGCAATTGTCTTGTTAGGGCTGCCCTTGGATTCTACTGTGAGCTGGTGAGGAGGTTTCTATCCATTAGTTTATATAAGGTGGATGGGGAGAAGGGTAGGGTCAATTGGGGATAATAGGATCAGAGATGAGCTGGGTTTGATAATTGTTACTTTAACCATTTAGTCGTGTCCAATTCTTGCCAACTTTATAGGCAACTGCTCTCCATCTTACCTTGTCAAGCACAGCTTCTTTCAATTGTTGGATGTTCAACTTCGTATCAGCCAGGGAGGAAAAGAATGAGTTCTCTATTTTATTCACTATATTTATTTTCTCCCCCACAGGGTTAGTATGTACAGTATTATGGAAACATTTGGTACATCGTTTTAAAGAAAGCAAATAATAGTTTTGACAACAAAATTCATTTTCAAACAATGCATTTTGTTATCTCAGAAGATCATCAAGCCCAGGTTCTTTACTTAAATCCAGAATCTAAAATGACCTAACCAAAGAGAGAGGCAATTGGTGAAGGTAGGTTCATGGTAGGGGTGAAATCCAGCAGGTTCTGACAGGTTCTGGAGAACCGGTAGCGGAAATTTTGAGTAGTTTGGAGAACCGGTAGCGGAAATTTTGAATAGTTCGGAGAACCAGCAAATACCACCTCTAGCTGGCCCCAGAGTGGGGTGGGAATGGAGATTTTGCAATAGCCTTCCCCCAGGAGTGGGGTGGGAATGGAGATTTTGCAGTATTCTTCCCTGCCATGCCCAACAAGCCACATCTCCAAGCCACACTATGCCCACCAAGCCACGCCTACAGAACTGATAGTAAAAAAAATTGGATTTCACCATTGGTTCATGGCTTGATGGACATCCAATGGCCTTGGGAACATGTGGCTTAAGTTCCTTCTCCTTCCTGCACACCATTTTTTCAGGGTGTAGGGAGTAATTTGCCTATTCTTTTCAGTTCATTTAATAAAGCAAATATTACAGATTAAAGCTCAAACTTCTTTGGTATGTATGGCTGGTTTCAGTAATTGTTCAAGGCTGCAGAGAATTTGTCATCTATCCTGGTTCTTTATTTTCCAATAGTAAGGCATTGGCCTATCTTAAAAGAGGTGTTTTTAAATAGCAGTCTTTTGTGCTTTTTCTTTCTTGCAGAGATATTTGCATCTACTCCATTTTCAGATGAATGAAATGCCTCTAATCCACTGAGGTTATGTAATTGCATTTTTTAAAGAACTCATTTTGCACTCCCTTTTCATAATAATTATTAAAGTAGTTTCTTTTTCTCTAGACACATTCCTGCCTCTTATATAAATGTTGGCGATATAGACTTGCTAGAGCTGGCATTCAGGAAATTTGTAATGGTTTATCATTATTTCCAAGGATATGCAAATCCTTTATGTTTTCTTTTGTATGGTCTGTTGCTTCCCTTTCCAGGCAGAATCAGCAAGGTTAAGATGCAGTGAATTCAGACAACTCTGCTGTGTGATTTTCAAAAGATCTTGAAAATGAACTAGGTCTTTCAATCTGTGATACTACATGGGTTGTAACTGAAATTTCATTTTATATATTATGCTAAAAGTGATCTTTGAATTTGGAATGTCCTACTTCACTTTGCTTAGCAAATGCTGCATCTGTTTGAACACAAAAGCTTCCTGAATGAAAAGAGCAAGCTTTGCTATTATTATTTTTTTAATACGATGTCTTACTTTACCAGCAGGAAAAAAGCTGCTTATATTTAAATGTGGAAAAACACTATGATATTTTCTAACATGTTATCTGAACTGGTACAGTACAGAATTATAAGCATCAGTTTGCCATCTCCATTTCCATTTTAAAACATGAATTGTCTCTAATTCTAGTTGCATTCTCTTCAGGGTGCAAATAATTCCACTCGTTTTTAGATTAGCATGGAATAAAAAGGAATACATTCAGTTACTTAACTGCACAGTTTTGTGTAAGCTACTCAGAAATAATTTACACAAAAATCCCAGAATAAGATTACAATCTTGCATATATAGTGTGTCCTAGAGAGACAATCCCAAAGAATCCATTAATTTCTGATGGTGTATGCATAGGCTTTCTGTCAAGTGCAGGAAATCAAATGTCCATGCAGTACAAATGAATATAGGCTCATTGTATTCTAATATTTTAACAAAAATCTGAACTACTAATGGTCAAAGCAAATTGGTGGTAGATAAAAGTCAATGGAATTCAAGGTGGGCTGAACTTAGATTGCTTGTGGGTGTGAAGGGACTTGAAACTGATGATGCATTTGACCCCTCCTTCGGGCTCAGCCAGGTCACCTTCTACATCACCTACCCCTCTTCCACCTTAGTTTCCTTCTTCCATGGGTTTGTCAATGCTGCTTTCCCCCTCCTGCATTGATTCTTTGAAGTCCAAGTTCTCAGAGGAACTTGGCATGGGTGGAAGGGAAGTGGTTTCAAAGGAATCTGCCTTTCCCTCATCTGAAGGATTTGGTGAGCCAGGTAGTGGTTGCTGAAAAAAATCATTAAAGGTCCTTTCTGTCCCCTGCCCAGGAGTTGAAGACTAGACATGGAAGGTCCATCTGGCAGTGGAGTTGATTAAGAGGCTGAGGGAAACTAGAGATCTGTTCTTAAGAAACTCCCCTGGTCAGGTGCTGATGAACACTTCACACTGAACTAGGAATGTTCTCGTCAGACTCATGTTGTACTGTAGAACATGGTGTAGAGCATGGTGTAGAGTATGGTGTCTATTAGCAGTAGGCCTTGGGCAGTTGTGGCAGATTGTTGAGGTTGCTATGGAGACATTTGTTGAGTCAGGATTTGTATTTGCTGAAGTATCTGAAACACATTGGTCACTAAATTCTTCATCTCATCTTCCATGCTGTCTTGGCACCTGCTGAGAGTGTTAAGTCTGGCTTGGCTGTTGTAGCTGCAGCTCTGGGATCTGAAACCATGGCTTAGATATCTTAGAGTTCATGAAAATGTTTGGTGTTGAGGAGAGTTCATATTAATGTCCAGTGCAGGAAATCAGGAGTCCAGGCAATACAAATGAATATACGTTTATTGTATGCTAATGGTATCTATAAGAATCTGAATTACTAATGATTAAAGCAGATTGGCAGTAGATAAAAGTCAATGGAATTCAAGATAGGCTGGACTTATATTTCTTGTGGGCAGAAAGGCACTTGAGACTGATGATGCATTTGACCTTTCCTCAAACAGGTTATCTTCTATATTCTTTCAAATCCTAAGGATTTATTTTTTATTTTTCTGCAATAGTGTCCCTCCAGACAATTTACAAGTCTTTAGGAAATGTAAAGCCTTTTTAAGTTAAAGGTTTTTTTAACATTTTTTTTAAATCAATGGCATTTATCAAATAGTTTAAAATATCATCATTAAAAACAGAAATATTTTTTTACTATCTGATATACTACAGTCAATTATTTATCTAAAGGCTAAATATTTAACAACTATTACTACAATCATTCACTGGGAAGGTCAACATGCAGATAGATGATATGGATAACATAAATTCTAGAAAATGATATCATGCATACTTTGCCACATTTCAAATATCCCAGTGTTAATATTGTAGCAGGATCAGCAGTGGACCAATTGAACATTTAATTTTAAATACTGAATTAATAGCAAATGTCATAAAGTGTAATAATAAATATTTTGCCTCAATACCTTTTCTCCCTGAAGTAATCTGGATTTATTATTTTCTTGAATTCTTTCTAAGGTTGTCAGAATAAGGTCCACCAATCTCTTTGTTTCAACCCTTGTTTTCAAATTTCCAAATTTCTATCTAGAGCTATGAAGAGAAGACAAAAGAGTTTTCATACAACTAACTATCAATTCCCTTCTCTAGTGATTCTAAACATACATTTCCAGTGCTGACAAGTACATTAATTTCATTCTGCAGTGTATAGGAAAAGTGTTGTAATTTTTCTTGTAAAAATCCAAGATTCAATAATTTCTTAACTCCCAGTCTCCGTTATCCCTCAATTAAATTTCACAAGTGTTTAATCTGCAACTGAAACTTACATTAAATACTCATAATGAATTCAGGAAAAGAATTGTATTTGTTTATTCATTTATTTATATCCCACCTTTATTATTTTCACAAATAACTCAAGGCACTGAAGATATCCAACACACTTTCCTGCTCCTATTTTCCCCACAATCACAGCCCAGTGCATGATTTGGGCTGAGCGAGAGTGACTGGCCCAAGGCCACCCAGCTATGTTTCAAAGCTGAGGTGGGATATGAATTTATGATCTCTAGCTTTCTACCCTTGTGCCTTAACCACTGCACTTCTGCATCTGCAAAAAAATACTTAGTAGAACAAGGCTCATATTAACCTACCAAACTGATTACTGAGTCCTCTTTATAAGAAGACTGATGAGAGCACAATGTCATTCAGCCTTGTTAAAACCACCCTGTCAGAGTTTGTTGTAGCAATCAAATCCAGAAAGCACACACAAGTAACTGATTCAGCAGGATTCATTAACTTCTCTTTATATGTAATATAACACATGAAATAAATATACAATACCAAAAATGGGTTTTCCAATGTCGTAGCAAGTACAAGTAAACACAGGCAGAGGAGATAAGAGTTTCAGTTTCAATTCAGCAGACAGAGAAGACCAGACTTGTTTCAATTTTCAGAGCTGAGCACAGAGCCTAGGCTCTAAAACTGTTTCAGTCACCAATCAGCTCCCATTGGCTGACTTAGTTGCTATGCCTATACAATGGCTGACCTTGTTACTAAGCCCTATTCCAGTTCATGAATATTCTGACACACCCTTCCTCAGTATGTCTTCATTTCTGCAGCCTGTGAAATTTAGTTCTAACTTGCTCGCTGAATTTATTTCATGGTTGGCCCATTTAATTCCAATTGCTGGTTTCACTCAAGAGATCCCAAGTCCTGGATCACTAATCATGGAGGTCCCTGTACTTTGAGAATAGATCCCTTTTAGAAAATTTGCTTGAATGCAGAGGAGGACGGAGACATGTACATTCCTGTTTTGTGCCCACTTTGATTTCATGCTGTAGACGGCTAGCACTACTGAATTCATGTGGAAAGGAGCTGAATCTAATTCCAAAACTGGATAGATATTTTTTGTAGGGAGTTCGTTTTGAGGACTTTGTCTACTTAAACTATTATGCTATCATTAGAATGCACACAATGCTTTTGTGGATAATGTAAAACCCAAACAACTTGAATTGACTCTCAGTATTTAGGAAGTGAATTGTGCTGACCTAGAAACACTCTTAAGAGTACTTTTTAAGAATAGTTTCTTTTAATTTAATGGCATTCAAAAATCGATCTTTTATTTGTAGATACCTAAAACAATTACATTTGATCTGGCATAAGAGAGATACTTCATTTAGAGCAAAAAATCCTTGTAATAGCAATAGCAATAGCACTTAGACTTACTAATATATACCGCTTCACAGTGCTTTACAGCCCTCTCTACAGAGTCAGCATATTGCCCCCAACAATCTGGGTCCTCATTTTACTGACCTCGGGAGGGTGGAAGGCTAAATTAACCTTGAGCCTGATGAGATTCAAACTGCCAAATTGCAGGCAGCTGGCAGTCAGCAGAAGTAGCCTGCAGTACTTCACTCTAACCACTGTGCCACTATTATCATGTGTCAAAAATCATTGTCATGGGGGAATTGTATACATCAATTTATTTTTTGAAAGAGAGCTACAACTCTTATAATACTATTTACAGTATATGTGGCCAGTATACACACACAGAGAGACATACAAACACACATGATGAGCACTCCTATATGAGCAAATATCAATTCTTGCTAGATCTTTTCTTTGCCTTTTTTATTCCTCTGGGCAATCTAGAGTTTATCGGAACTCTCCAGAATAATTCTAGAGAGAGACAGCAGAAATTAAGGACAGGAAAAGTTTGTTCTATTGATATACTGGACTACAGACCAGTATTACATTCATTATAAAGTTTATGCCTTTCACTGTAACCAACAAAGGATTTTAGAGATGCTTGAAAAAATATCATTCCTCATGATTGCAAACAACATTAAGAAATACATATTTATGTCATAAAAAAATATTTCCTGAAATTTTCAAAGGAATTTAATAAATAATGTATGGAACACTTCTTATTTTCCTCAAACTTATTCCAAATTAATGGACAACTTGTCCCAAATGGCAAGCTACATAAGAGAGGCAGAGCTACAATGAAAATGGAGCAGCAGTTTCCCCACTGAGTTCCCTACAAAATTTTATTTGTTCTATCCATTTTTATGAATACGCCACATAAAATTCTTTATGATATTTGCATTCAAATTCAACAACTGAACTACTATGGCTTAAAAATAAGTTAGCTAAGATGCCATTGAAGAAAAAGAACTTGGATTTAGTAACTACCCAGCATATTAAAGACAACTGTATCGAAGATCTCGGAGATCATTGGCAAAAGCGAATCTTTATATTTGTATCGATAAAGGGCTTAAGAGGTTATTTTGATAAGAATAGGCAATGAGCTAATACAAATGTAAGGGGAAATGTTGAATGTTAGAACAAACTTCCTAAGAGTAGGAGCAGTTCAACAGCAGAACCAATTAACTAGATAGATGGTGAGTTCCTCTTCACAGGATGTGTTCAAGCAAAAGGCTAAGCAGCCATGTGTGAGGGATGCTTTAATTTAAATTAATGCACTAAGCAGGATTTGGTGGATATACCTTCTGGTACTCTGATTCTATGAAATGAGCTGAATTCTGGAGCAGCTTCAAAACTTCCAGATAAATCCACACTAAACACACTATTAATGCAATTAATGTAATTTTAGAATTATGGCTAGCTGTGTTCTGTAATCTTATATTTAAGATCTGGGAAATAAGAATCAGTTTGTTTCCTTGGTCCCTTAAAATCTTTTTTTTTGGGGGGGGGTTAAAAAGTATCTTGCTTGCTTCAGTGGATAATAGATTTAAAAAGTCAGACAGAGAGAATACATTATGTGGGATCTCTCACCACTGCCATGGTATTTTGAAAATACGAATATTGGTAATTTCGAACTGAATTAGTTTCATTCATCAAATTCTGACAGCTAGGAGTAAATTGGTTATACTAAGGGATCACTTTTCTTCCCCCTGACTTTAGTCTTGATCAGATTAAAGTCCTGTTGATAGATGCAACCTGATTTGGATTTAGATGTACAACCTGTACTGGCCAGGATTGCACTAAGGTGAAACATCACAGTAAATGCTTGGGAATGTTCATTATTGTGTCACTCTTTTTCAATGTACAGGTGGGATTAGTCACAACGAGTAACTTTTCAGTTTAGCTGGTTCTTCACTTAGTTATTCATGTCCTATTAGCTTGCACATTCGTTTATTATCTTGCAGGTGCATATGCACAGGTGCAGACTGTGGCACCTACATTTGTATTGGGCCCTAGGAAATTTGATAATATTATACTGATCAAAATTACATTGGCTGCTTGTTTCTGATCCTGGTGTTAATTTCTGAAAGCATAAAGAGTTTGGAATCCATTTATTGTAAATATAATATTCTACTCCTTCTCTCCGTTTTGGTCATTTTATCCATTGGCAGAGTTCTTACTTGAGGCACAAATAACTACACTCAAGTTATCCTACTTTGGACACATTATGTGAAGATTTATCTCTTTGGAGAAGTCTCTAATGCTGGGAGAGGTGAAAGGAAAGACAAGAAAAGGACAATCAGCAGCAAGATGGATAGGTTCAGTGTAAGCCCTTCAAGGTAGACCAGATAAGAAGCACAGCTATGATTACCTACCCTATCTTTAGTGTAATCTTACATTAATAGCATCTTGTAAGTCTAAAAGTATGGTATTTCCCCCTCTTTTCCTTTTACTCTCTAGGAAAATAGGGAGGGCCCCTTTCAACTTCTTTCTGTGGACTGAGCTATATTTCATATGGTAGTTGTCTAGTCTGTAGCCCTTCCTCTTGTCTTCCAAGGTGTTCCTCAGATACTAAATTACAATGGCAATGAGCATATTCATTAGAAGATCTGGAGGACCAAGTTAGGGACAGATTGTCATGTAAAAAAGCTTTCTGTTTAGCTGCTAAGAATTAATACCAACCTGATGACACATAATCAAAGTACCCTCTACAAATACATTGATCATGTGTGATTCAAATAAGTTTAAGTTAACAGTCTGCTTACTTGGAAATCTGTGGCTATTTTCAATTCAAGCACACCCACATATTGATTAACCAATACAAACAAAGATTATATTACGCACAGTTGTGTTCTACCAACTTAAATACTTCACTCAACCCAATTTTCTGTATTGTCACTAAATCTGCTCAACAATTTGCAGGACCTTTACAGTTGAAAGCTGACTAGATAAATGCAAATAGGGAAGGCAAGGAAGACATCTCATCCCGGAAAATATAATCTGACGTATAATGTACCTCTACATTATATTTATGGGATATTAATTTTGATTAAACTAAATGTAACTAAGTTTAATTTGGAATAGATATTTTATATTTTAAATGGTAGCGCACCTTGAATATCACGGATTTTTGCCATACACAATAAAAAAGCAACAGGTTAACTAGATGTATCTCGGAAGAATCCTCTCAAATCATCAAGTCTGACTAGATGCAGGAAAGCAATCTAGTGAGAAGATCCTTTTTCACAGTTATGAGCTGTTGAGTTTCCTTATTTTAATCATGTAGTATACGGATTAGAATAATTAGCATACTGCATTTTGACAACATCCAAGGATAGAGAAAAGACAAGTGATTTCATTTTATATATATATATATATATATATATATATATATATATATATATATATTGCACATATGTGTGTGTGTGTGTGTGTACAGTTAATATTTCGGGTTTCTTCCCGTGTAATTGTGAACATATCCCTAAAAGGGTAGAATTACATAGACAAATATATATATATAGACTTATATATATATATATATTTATAGATATATAAATATATATATATATATATATTTATATAATATAAAATATAATATAAAATATAAATCTATATAGACTTATATAGATCTATTTCTGGCTTGTTAGCCATCATCAGTAAGCCACACCCACATCTCATGTATCCTTCCTTAAAGGTACAATATCTATTTTCTTACTTCTTCGTAGGATTTATGTGTGTTTTTCCTCTAGCCAGGTTTTTCCTATGTAACCAAGGTTTTTCTGCAGCCCTAGCTCAGTAGAATCACATCCACTCGATTCTGGGCTTTTTTCTTTCTGGCAGCCAGCAAGTTCTTGCTGCCAGGTGAGAGACTTATATAGATCTATTTCTGGCTCATTAGTCATCATCAGTAAGCCACACCCACATCTCATGTATCCTTCCTGTAAAGGTACAATATCTATTTTCTTACTTCTTCGTAGGATTTATGTGTGTTTTTCCTCTAGCCAGGTTTTTCCTACATAACCAAGGTTTTTCTGCAGCCCTAGCTCAGTAGAATCACATCCACTCGATTCTGGGCTTTTTTCTTTCTGGCAGCCAGCAAGTTCTTGCTGCCAGGTGAGAGACTTATATAGATCTATTTCTGGCTCGTTAGCCATCATCAGTAAGCCACACCCACATCTCATGTATCCTTCCTGTAAAGGTACAATATCTATTTTCTTACTTCTTCGTAGGATTTATGTGTGTTTTTCCCTCTAGCCAGGTTTTTCCTACGTAACCAAGGTTTTTCTGCAGCCCTTTCTGGCAGCAAGAACTTGCTGTCTGCCAGAAAGAAAAAAGCCCAGTGATAACTACTAGTTTATATAGGAACAAAATCTGAACTAGCTACTTTTCACTTTTAAAGCTGCCTTATTGGCATGCTTTGCATTTCTTTGCTAACCACAAAGCTGTCTCAATATACAGTTCACTCACTGTTCTCCTTACCTATATTTGTGATTGAATGTCTTTATCTTCACTCCATTTTGCTAGCATTTAACCACCATTGTCATTATCACCAGTTACAATAAAACCTCACTAGAGCTAGATGTATTTTATTGGATTGTATAAATACTTTGCAGGATGTTACATGACAGCTGGCATTACCGGAGCTGTCCAGCTTCTACCATGTTTTTAATTTTTCAGATATCATAAATCATTTAAAACCACAAAGAATAATTTATTCCATAGTGAATATAATCTTTCCAACTATATACACATGAATAAGCTTCCATGCAATCAATACATTTTTAAAAACTTATCTTCACAGTGAGTTAAGCTCATTATGTATTGTTTTATTAATATGTATTTTTCACTTTACAGGAATGCTATATTTACAAAGTCTCTAATTTAGAAATTGCTAATGTTTCCTTGCTAGTCTTGCAACTTGACAGATTGTTCAGTTTCTTTTCTACAGAGTTGTAAGAAGAATCTAGTTAACATCACAATAAAATTGAATGTTTTGACAAGAAGCAGAATATAGGAACCCTAGAGATACAATAACAGTATCACAGGAGGCCAGGAGAAAAAAAACAAAACAACCCTAGTTACATTGTTATAGCTTTTTACACAAATTCAAATTGATACATCAAAGTATGTATCTTTCACAAATCGAATTAAAAAAAAACAAACAGAATGCCAGGAGAGATTCACAAAATCATCTGAATTTTTTTTAAATGTATCCCATATAAGGGATAATAAGAAAATTAAACATATATTTTAAAATTACTCTGGCTTTTCATCTTGTCCTTATTATTCAAAACTAATTTTGGAAGAAGTTTTGGAAGAAGTTCTTAAGTGCTTAGAATAGATAATCATTTTAGTTTATTTTAGAGAGTAAAAATTTGCTATTGGTAGTGTGGTACATTAATAAGGTATCACAAGTTCCTGGAGAAATTCATTTCTGGAATATACATACATACATACATACATACATACATACATACATACATACATATATACATGCATACATACATATTTGTGTGTGTGTGTGTATGTATGTATGTATGTGTATATGTATGTGTGTGTGTGTGTGTGTGTGTGATGGATTAGCGACCTTCAGGCATTAAAATCACATTTTAAAGTTTGAAAACATTTAGTAGGTACACTCATAAAATCACTGCTGTTTATTTATTAATATCAAATGTAGAAACCACCTATTTCACTCACAGAGAGGAAATTTGCTTTTACATAAGACTGGATGTGATCAATTACAAAACACAAATTCAACTATCTTCCAAGATACTGTCTACTATCCTAAATAGGCTTGGGAGAGGGGGTTGGTATTTTTGCAAATACATAGTATAATAGACCTACCTATTTAATTATTTTAAAGAAATCTTTAGAAAAACCAATGAGTCTAATAGCAGTCAGTCAGACATCTACAAACACCCTGATATCAACCTGCATCACAATATCTCTACATGATATTGCTGGCTGACCTTCTCTAATGAAGAACACTGTTTTCTGGAAGTCTGTTAGGATTCAGCTATATTTGGATGATCATAGATGCATTTAAGTTAGGACATTGGAACACATAACCAATTTCTTCCTTCTAAATCTTTCTAAACTGCAATGGCATTAAGTCATATTTCTTTCTTTCTTTCTTTCTTTCTTTCTTTCTTTCTTTCTTTCTTTCTTTCTTTCTTTCTTTCTCTCTGTCTCTGTCTCTGTCTCTCTCTCTCTCTCTCTCTCTCTCTCTCTGTCTGTCTTCAATTGCCAACTTCCTTTCACATCAAAATTAGGAAACTATAGTTATCTCAACTGGCTTCATATTGATTTTATCCATTGATGCTGCCTCTTTTAAACTGGCCAATGTGGAATATACCCCTAATTGATTTTGGTATCTTTAAGGGGCTTTCTTATACTATCCCTGTCCTTGCTAGCAAAACCCCAAACATTCATGCTGCAGAGTTCACAAGCCACTGCTCTTATCTATCTTTACCCATTTTTTTTAAAAAAAAATGAAATTTAGCGGTGCTGTACTCATGACCTCACCTTATCAGAGTGCATTTGCTCCAGATCTCTTGTGCTCTTTATTAGCACCTTGGAATAAACTCATCCCAAATTGGTGCTTGCAGAAGCATGTGATCTAACTGAGATACAGAAACTGTTACCGTTTATTGGAAGGGGGCATGATAACAATTCACATAGAGAAAGCTTATCAGTTAAGTTGATAGAAAAGAGAAATTCTCTTGGGCTTTGACTGTAAGAGCAGAATGCAGACCTCCACAATGGATGCTATTACAACTTTGGAAAGAAGAAGAAGAAAACTTGATTTCATTTAGTTTCCATTTAAAACAACTACCCAGAGCTACAAAATAAAGTAGGCTGAAAATGGGATCATTAAAAGCAAGGTCACAGCACAACCGTGCCCAGTAGTGCTATAACTTTTCAAGTTTCTTAGTTTGCTAATGTAAAATGGTCTATTTATTCCATAACTGATTATGCTCGGATTCCCCCCCCTTTTACTTATTTAGTTTTTAAAAATCCTGCAGCTGCAAAACTCTTGTTGGATGGAAAGAGGGAACCATATAAATAACTATAGACAACAAATAAAGAAACAAAAATAGCTTTTAAATCTGAGCATGAAAAAAAAGCCAAATATGATCTAGCAGGTGAAACTGAGGCAATGCTTCTCAAAAAAGTGTGAATTCAGAATTTAAAGCCCTAAGGAGATGAATTTATACTGTGGACATATCAGACCCTCTGTTGTTGCTGCCTTATCTGAGTGAGCAGCTGGAGATGTATATTATATCAATAGGTTTCAAAGATAAACAGTGGTTTTAGTTTTTTTTAGTTTTGAAAG